GGGAATCCCTTGTCCTTCACAAATGCTCTAAGGGAGATGAAAGACAATTTACAGAAAATCTCGAGGATTCTCAAATTATTGCTCAAAGGTTGATCATTAGGAGCTGCAGCATTGATACAGCTTTAAACCCTGACTCAGAGATTCTCACATCAGAGACTCCTGCCTAAATTGTGAACTGACTTTTTGAAATCCAGCCAGCAGTGATGGAAAGGTTTCAGGTCATGGGGAAGCCGACTCATTCCTCAGCATTTCAGCCCTGCAGTGTGACTATCCCCTTGCAGCCAGTGCCTTCTGGCAAGGGCAGCCCCAGTCACTCAGGTCCAAACACTTGAAATGTTTCAGAAGCAGATAATCAAAACATTAATTAGGATCATATAAGAGAAAATCCAGAAGCAATACACTGCAAATGGATGACCCTAATATTAGGATACTAAGCCCAAATTTTGAAAAAAAGCTTTGTGAAATTGGTACTAAATTATACTTTCCATTTACAACACATGTCTTGCAAAGGCAATTGCATGGAAATCCTTTGCTTCCAATGGTGTTGAATTAGGGTTAATATTTCTACCATTCCAGAAAAATTACAGTGAAACCCTAAGTACCTGTAAATAAACTACTGGTTTTTTAACAACTGCTCTCCCTCCTGTACCAAAAGACAATTAGCTTAGACAAGATCAAAAAAAAAAAAAAAAAAAAAAAGGAAAGTATATCAAATATTATCCTTTGCTTCCTCCTCAGGAATATACATAAAATTACTTAAAATTATCCTTCCTCTGTTTTTCAAAGAAGTAACCACTTCCTCAAACAGATAAGTAAGAGTGACACTAATCTGACCAACCTACATGAGAAAGCAGAGCACTGAGTGCAGGTAGAGACAAGTTCTCCCTGTTAATTCAAAGTGAATTTCCTCTCATCAAGTACTGGGCTTAATTTAAGCAATAAAATAGAAGGGGTAGATGTTGCCTTGGAGATATTTTCACTTCCACCAAGTGGTCTGCATTGGTGTGATGCGAAGGACCCAACAGGTGTGCAAAGACAGTATATCAGCATGGGGTTGTTCCTACTAGCTACATGCTTAAAACCAACCAAAAACCTCACTGCCAGGTTACACAAATCCTAAATATGAGTTTCCTTAGATTAACTCCCAGGTTAAGAAATGTCTAGTGCATTATTATATTATATATTTATATTATAAACATTTATCTATTAGACATTATATTTTATATATTTATATATTATATTATATATTATCTCAATTGCCGAAAATAAACATTATATTTTTGGTCCCCTTCCTTCAAGGTAATATTTTTGTGTCCTTACTCATCAGCTTCATTACAGTTAGGAGGGGGTTAAGCAATGCAAAAAATGAAACAGCAGCCCCTGTTTCAAACTGCAGCAGCCACTTCAGTGGCCCTGAAATGCTACCCAGGCACACGTGCATTCATTTACTAAGCTTGATGGTCCTCTCTGTTTACGTTTGATTTTCTCTGAGCATTTTGCCTGCCCAGCACTTTCACACTGTTCAAGCATTGTAATCACATGGAATGGACTGTCCAACTGGCTGCAGAGGGGACACTTGACCAGGCTAATCGTTAAATAAATTACTTTGGTAACTCACCACTATTTTCCCAGTAAATTCTATTCCCTACTAAATGCACACCTGTCTGAAGTACGAAACCAAAGTGGTTACACCACTGTCACCAAACCTCAGCACTGGGATGCTCTACAGGTCTGCATTTGAGCAGTCTCTGAGCACCCTGCTGTGACAAGCCTCTTACACATGGGAACCTAAGGCCTGGGACAGGATACTGATAAAGGTCACACATGAAGCCTGAAAATTGGGAAACTGGTCCAGAATTTTCAAAGATGATGCAACATCCCCTCTAGACTATCCTTGAGCTAAATGATGTTCTTATGCATATAAACCTGTAATTTCAGAAGTGCTCACAACTAATCATATTATTAAAATTCCTGACATCTGTATTAAACATTAATTTATCTCACAACATTCCACATAATAATGACGTACACCATAATAATGTATTAGTAGTGTACACCATTATTATAATCCTGTAAGGCTTAAGCTGTACCATATCCATACGTACAAACTTACCTTCTCTTTTAAGATACAAGTATGCCCATCTCATGATGGCAATGTTTTGCAAGCACTCTACAGGCAGTCACTTTTCCCATAAATATTCTATTTATGAATGTTCTAATTCCTGAATATTTTTGCAAACTGCATCCTGAATGCAATTCCAACGCTACACACATCCTATTTGAAAAGCAACTATGCCCTTGTGGAAAAATGTCAATTTCAGGATTCTAAAGCAAAAATCTAGAAAGAACAAAGACCATCTCCAGGATACCTTTCCTCATACTTGACACATACTGGTATGAAGTTCTTATTTCAAAACCCTCCAGAAACACTGCGTTTGTGATAATACTTCAAGAAGACATCATAAGTAATACAGCTGGATAGCTTAATGCTACGGCTGTAACTTAAGCTGTTCTCAGTTATTACTGCCGTTGTGATTGATACAGTTTGCACTCCCTGTAGCATTTTGTATTCATAATAGTGTAATTGTTAACTGGGACTTTGATTCAAGTATTTTTTATGAAACATGTATAAAAGATGCAAACTGGCAAATCGGGGATAATTACAATTAATTGCACCAGCAAGTACTAAAGCATCCGTGTCCTAAGAAAATACAGATCTTGCAGCAACATGCATAGAACAAAACAGGTAAAAATATGTTTAAATCAGACGTTAAAGAAGAGTCTCAGCAAAGACAAGGCAACAGTGCCATCTTGAGGTCACTAGAGAATTAAAGGAGGAGGAAAGCTGCAAGCATTACTCTGAAGGTATTTTAAATGCAGAAATTACTTGTTCCATCTGAATGTTCCAAGAGCAAAGAAAAATACTCTCAAGCCGTTTTCTTAATTTGGTGTTGTTAAAAGCAAAGCATTTGCAGACACCAGCCCTTTCACAAGTTGATTAGAGGGAGGGAGGACCTCTCCTATGAGAAAAGGCTAAGAAAATTGGGATTGTTCAGCCTGGAAAAGAAAAGGCTTCAGGGTGACCTAATTGCGATGTTCCAGTACCTGGAGGGAAACTACAAGAAAGATGGAGAGGGACTTTTTACAAGAGTATCTAGTAACAGGACAAGAGGGAATGGCTTCAAACTGAAAGAGAATAGGTTTAGATTAGTTATTAGGAAAAAGATTCTTTGCTGTGAGGGTGGTGAGCACTGGAACAGGTTGCCCAGAGAAGCTGTGGATGTTCTCTGGATGGTCCCTGGCAGTGTGCAAGGCCAGGCTGAATGGAGTTCTGAGCAATTCAGTCCAGTGAAAGGTGTCCCTATCCATTGCAGGGAGGTTGGAATTATGTGATCTCTAAAGTCCCCTCCAACCCAGGCCATTCTATGATTCTACGGAAATGACCTTTCATGACTTATTCATTATTAATTTATTTTCTCGGCTGCTTGGTTTCCTCCTTTCACTAATTGATACCTGCATTTTACAGATAACAAAGTATGCAACATTCTTATATCATACATATTTTTTCAGATTGGACTCACACCAATGCATATCCTACCCTTTAATGTTTTATGGGTTATACCATAAAAATGCACATGAAGGCCAGTAGAACTGCATTGCAGGTCTTCTGACTGAGGCACAGAACAGAAAGATCCAAGTGTACAAACATGGTGAGAAAGCAGGGATTCATCCTCCACACATGTAGGAGGAGCTTCAGCAATATTAAAAAATGCAGAAGGGAACCTGCACTGATCCATTTGGCACAGCTACTCTGGCTGTGCATATATACGTGCCAGACATTTCCACCACACCTACTGCTGGGGAATGGCCACCAGGATGGTGGTAATCTTAGACTAGCAAACAAAATGGTCCTGTTCTAATTCTTTTGTGCAAAGGTTGTGGTGAAAACAGCAACCTCTACGCAAGCAAATATGGTAAGTTCTGCTAGGTGGTTAAGAATCAGCCAGAGCAGAACTATTGTTTGGTGCCACAAGTACTTGTCCATCAGCAAATCACAGAGTGATTAGGGTTGGAAGGGACCTTTAAGATCATCTAGTATGTCAAATCAAATTGATGTTTCAAACAAGATTTGTCTCTTAGGAAGTAAAAACCATCTTGAATACCTCTTTAGATAACATCCATAGCCCAATAAGGAAAAAAAATCCTTATATAAAACATATGCCAGACATTACAGTTTCAAAGGATATTTTTAAATTCATGAGTCTGAGTTAGTTCATGAGACTTACATCACCTTAAGTGAGCAACTGCTACTCTGGCAGAGAATTGTTAAGGGTAAGATGAAGATACCTCATAAGCTTCAAGACAATAAGGATTTACTATTCAAAGCACAACAGCTGCTCTGCAAAACACAGATGCTAATATCCAGGATGGTGTCCCATCCTGGACAGCAGTCTCAGGGGATTGGTTTATAATACGGTTTCAAGGCAAAGCAGAGATGTTATTTCAAATGCCACGCCCTGAAGGAACCAATGGACAAGACATTCAGCTGCTGAGGCAGAAGGAATATAAACTCATAATTTACATTATGCTGACCCATCACACTCATTAGTCAGAGACATTGAATTAAAAGTAGCCTGCTTTGATAGGTCATTTACTTAGTAGGAAGAGATACTATCAAATCTTTTTGCTCTTTTGTTAGAAAACATTTAAAAGCACAGAAAAAAGTCATTGTTTTTCCACATGTACAGAATATCAATATTTCCTTTATCAATAACTGTGCTTTACATACAACATCATTTAAACCTATAGATTGCAAAACTCTGTATATATTTCACCTTAAGTTTTTCATATCAGATTTTAAACAAATCATTTATATATATTCATTCTTTATACTTTCAGAAGAGTAATGCAGGGTAAACAGGAGGACCAAAATATTTTTTCTTTAATAATACAATTACTATAAAATACCTATTTTCATAATATAACATCTTACGCTTTTATCATAAACTACCTGTCACAAACTAAGAGTTTGTACAAAAACTGTTAAAATCATTTTTCAGTAGGTTCTAGCTTAAAAGAGGGAGGCACAAGGATCTTCCTATAGATTTAATTATCTTTTAAAAGGTAAACACATCTTTTACAGTTTCAACGCATGCCCAAGATTTGTCTGCTCTTTAGTTGGTAGTTTTTTTCCAGTTCAGATAGTGCTTGAGCTCGTAGATTTGCAGCATATAGCCGTTTTTTGAGATCAGAGCTTTTTCCTTTAGAAAAGAGATAGTTTTCCATATTATTAGGAGACACCGCTTTCTCTTCACTTCCTTCAAAGGGTACATTCTTCTTGGTTGTAGAAAAGGGAAGCAGGAGTGGGTTATCTAAAGAAATCAAAAAGGAAGTACTGAATTAGTGCATCTTCCAGCATTTATTGCTTTTTATCCTGTTGCCCATTTTGTCATCTTCCTATGGCTTTGAGTGATCTAATTAAGCGTATTTCAGTTAAGAGCAAAAATTCTATTTTTTGAGGAAAAATTAAAACAAGGTTTTTAAATTATTGTGGTAAAAGGATATATGCCAGAGTAGTTTTTAGGTGCACATCCCAACACCAAAGGGAATATTAGTTGACATAAGGAGAAAAGACATGATGTTTCTTCTGAAGGACAGAAGTGAAACAGTAACATTATTCAGTTCCAAAAGAAAATAGAGAAGTAGGCTCTCCATACTGAAAAGAAATTATGTTTCCTTCACAGCAGGAGCAGATCCAACCTGTTCAGTGGTCTTCCTACATTACCCACATTGTTCCAACTCTATCTTTGTACTAAGCCAATGGGGTACAAATTAGGCTCTGACTTGATGAATAATGAGTTCAGGTGCATTAAAAATTAACAAGTTACTTTCACTGCAGCCTCCAGAACAAGAATTTTCATAGTGCAACCTATAGCATGCCACAATCAAAAGGCAGTTAGTTTGTTTTTAATGACATGAGTACAAAGACTACCGTATAAAGCCATTATAACAGTTGAGTTGCCTCTCATAAGAGTCAATTTCACAATACTCAATTTAAGGTGTGATTTTTATTTTTATTTAATCAAAGTTCTAACTATTCTAATCTTAACACTGTTGAAGCTCTAATTTTCAATTTATTAGGCTACAGCAAGGATGCAATAAGCACAAAAGAGCAAGAAGGAACTGAAGAAGCCAGTGCATATTTTAGCATTTTATAGTTTCATAGCAGTAAGCCAGATCTGTTTTAAAAGTAAATCTTTTCCTAAAAATTAGAAACCCCCTGTAAAATAGGATAGTGCCTAGGTCACTGTCTTAGAAAACAGAATTTTACTGTGAAGTAAACCACACAACAGACTTTAAGGAAAAATTAGAGATCTAAAAGATGTGTGAGATGTAATCTGGTTGTGAAAAATACAGTAATGTGAGCAACTGAAGATAACAAGTAAGTGATCTTGGTACCCTACTGGAGAAACACTGAGTCTATTTATACAAGAACAGGGAGAATTTTGGAAACAGTATTGCAAGAGCACCATGGAATGAACTGGAAGAGTAGCAAACCAAGTACTCTACAGATACTGCAAGATATCTTGTAATAACTATGTTTACTTTTCTGTACTATCTATCTTGAAGTATTAGCTGCCCAAAGTAGTTTTGTCTATCTTCAAATACTCCTGATAAGGTCAAAACATTATGTGAAAGGGTGGGAGATACAGTAGAGAACAGAAGCAAGAGCTGAAGCTCATTTGCCTTCAGGCATCTGGTGTTTGATGCAACATCAGAAAGCTAAAAGTAAGTTTATTCCCAAATTAAATTCTTTAACATATCCAAGTCAGACAGTATATTGAGAGACAGGTGGAATTCCCAAAGTTGACAGAAGTGTTAGAAATCGCTCAAGTACCACTCAATTCTAGGGGCATTTTACTTGTGTTCTTTCCTGTTGTGATAGGCACTTTGTAGGGAGGGGAAAAAAAAAAAAAAAAAGCCCCTTCAGTTTTATTCATATTGGAGGCAGGGACATGCTTATCTTGCTTTATTGGACCAAACTCAAGGAAGAGAGTGTTGCTCCGTATTAAAGGGTGTTCATATGTCTTTGTTCTAGAGTACTACTTCTGACTCAGTCATTCACTGTTCCTACCACTATTTCAAAATGCATTTAGAGACTTGAATCATTTCTAATAGTAAAAGATGGGTGCAATGAACAGATGATAGTACCTCTTATGATAGTGAGGACTGAATAACCAAGGCGAAAGTCAGTGTCAAATATTACTGTAAAAACAATTGGACTAGAAGAAGGTAAGGAGCGTTATAGCGTATTTTCAAACCTAGAGGGTTTTTTCCTATAATAGCAGTTTGCATTCTTTATACATCATATGATGCACCAATGACATCTGAGTCACTTTCGACAAATAATATTGTTCATGTTGAAGTTTTTGGAAGTTTAATGAAAGCTGAATTGATTAGACATATGCAATTTTATTAAAATTAACTAAATCAAAGGTCTATAAAAAGACATCCATCTGTAAAACAAGCACAGCTCTGAGAAAGGTTTGGGTTACAAGTAGGCACTTCTCTTAGCTTGCCATAAGAACTTAATTTCCAAAACAGCAAAAGACTGCAGTGCAAACAGTGGTAACTCAAAGACTTATGGTTGAGCATCACTCCTGAAGTCCTTTTGCAAAGCAGAAAATCAAAAGTCTCTTCCCAACCATGCAGGGATAATTGGGCTTTGTATTGCCCCGATGGGACTATGAACAGCATGTTGAGCATCAGGGACATTCTTCTGGTCATACCAGCCTGCATTTATCTGGGCAAGTGCATTCTTGCGTATTTGCATACCTGGACCATCTGCGTAAGTTACCGCTCGCTGCTGCTTGTGGAGATTGTAGCTCCTCATAAGGCTTTCAGCTCTGTTTGGGAAAGAGAAATTTAAGCTTTTTGTTGTCAGACTGTAGATTTTCTAACACAGACAATTATAGGTTAGTAGGATACCTAGCAAGTTTGTCTTCTGCCAGTCTCTCTCGCACACAGAGCTCCCGTTCTCTCTCTGGAAGTAGAAATATGTGGTAGTATGTAGTGTTAAAATGTTAGAGTGATTGTGCATGATGGGTTTTTCTTGCAGGAAAAGACAGCAGCAATAGACAGCTGCACACATATTTCTGATTCTATGGCTCTAAACAAAGGTAACTGCTGTGTAGATACACCTTTATCAATGCACCAGCAAAGCACTGGATGAGTACTCCGAAATGCCAGGCATGCTCTTGTTCCCAAACTTTGGCATGTCTGCAACAATGAAGCCAGAGTAGTTTTCTATTCTGTACATTAACTCATGGCACACGACATCAGATTTAAATATTTATATGCTAGATACAATGATTCAGCTATAACTAAACACCCTGTTTACAACATCAGCAGATGTCATTCAGGCTCAGAAAAAAAAATATAGTTAAAAACTGTATTGCAGAGCCTACTGCCTATGCAAAGACATTTTACGTGGGCAGGAAATACCAACATCTGAGAACTAACTATCTGTACAGATTCACAGGTAAGCTCCCTGCAGTGCAGCCTTTATAAAAGCAGTTTACAGTTTACTCAAAGATGTTTTTCGCCAACATCAGGCTCACCTTAGGTTTCATTTTAGTACAGTCAACGCTAACTTACACAGTGGGTGAAAAGCAACCTACACGGCACAGTGAGGAACAATATCTTCAGACCATGCTTTTCTGTATATTTTCCTAATTGCCACTCATGTTTAATAATCTTCACAAACCAGACTGCTATATCTAAACTGCCAGTTATATCTTAATAACCTAAAACCTAGTATAGATGACTAAGTCCCAGGCATTCTTGCTTTGGTCTTTAGACTCAATTCTAGTAGTGAATGCAATACCCTAGTGCATTAAAACAAGGGTTGTAAAAACTGTCTACCTTTCCTTCCTCCAACTGAATCAGAATCCCATGCCAATCCCCCCCTTCCCAAAGTAGTATATCATACGCTCCAAACGTTGCTCTCTCTCCTTAATGGCTTGTTCTCGCTCCTGTAGTTGCTGTTCCTTCCGTTTCAGCTCATTCACTGCAGCATCTGAGTACTGCAGCCTTTCTGGCTCCCACGATCTCCAACATCTTCTGTCAGAATTCTGCTTTTGTTCTTCTGTCACCAGGTCTGCTATCAAGGGGTGCTGCAGAATATCTTCAACAGAAGGTCGGCAATAATCCTAAAGGAAAGACATTACCAATAGATTCCCTCTGTAACCAAGAAACATTATGGCCAGAGATTCCCAAGCAAGAACAGCTGAGATGTTATACAGTGAAGAGGTTGTGGAAAAATGGAGTTATGAAGGGGTAGCACAACCAGATGACAACAACTAAGGGAGGAGTCTGTTACCAGCCTTCAGATCCATAGCCACAAGTTTGTCTCCCCAGCCCAGACACCCACTCCTTTCAGAGCCTAAATGGGGTGGGTGAGCCTACAGAGACAACTGTCAGTAGATTCTGGAGCTACCACTCTGCATTTCTGCCTGCCACTTGATTCCTGAAGGATCCATACCTGCTGGATACTTGGGACAACAAAGCTGTAACAAGCACCCATGCAGTATTCTTCTCAACACCCTCATGCCAGCAGCAGGGAGCAAGCTATACATTAGCCATATAAAGAAAAATCCAAAATGAAGACAAAACAACCCCTTCCAACTTCCAAACACACTAGAACCATTTTAACCCTGAAATTACAAGACCTCAATAGCTTATTGAGGTTCTTAGGAAATCCTATATAGGTCAATACTGAGGCAGCCTTTTTGCATCCTTTGAACCTGACATAAAAGCTTGAGCTGCTCCCCCTTTTTTCCATGGACTCAGAGCACAACTTCTCCCTCCTTTTCCTACAAGTGAAACTGCCAGTGACAAGGTGATAACAACCAGTGCCTCAGGTTGGTTTGTTTCATAATTGAGAAGAAAATCTAGTAATTTGAACTAATACTGAAATACAGGTGCAAACATTAGTAATTGAGTCATACCTTTACATTCAGCATCTGCTTGAGAAGTTCGTTCAACTCCTCTGAGTAACGATATGGTATTCTTCTGAACTTCCCTTCCCTTATCTTTTCTGCCAGTTCTTTTTGGTTGTAAGCTGTAAACGGAGGCCTGAAAAAGAAAAATTTTTCTGGATTCTTCCACTGGTTTCACAGAACGTATTTTCAGAAAAGAAGTATCAGACTAAAAAGCTGCAATCAAGGGTTGGTTTTCACTACCTGACGTCAAGACCAACACAGAAATAAAAATCTAGGACTAGACCCTGAAGCCTTTAAGCTTTCATCTATACAAAATTTAACCATACCTGCATTAACAACTATGTTTCCATATTCCTTATTACACTACCATACTTACGAGAGAGCACATAGTTCATACAGAAGACATCCTAGAGACCAAATGTCAGATTTTTCATTGTATGACATGTGGTTCATTTGTTCCTAAGAAAAGAGAACAATCTTAGGTTTAATAAAGAAGACAGTGTTCCAGTAATGCAGGATAGTCAACTGCTATTCAAACCTGAATTAAATCATTACTTATGGGGTTTACTTCTAAGATTCCATCTTAATTAATCTCCACATTTAATCATACCAGCAGGATTTTAATAAGTTGCGGCAGTACTCCACTGCAGAAGACTGACATGTTGCACCAGTCTTTAATCAACACAACTCTATTTCAGTCAAAATTAATCTTCCCCCCAAGAAATGCATTATATCTGGGTAATAAGTAATTCCTGTTCACTTCACTACAGACTAAAATCCTACCATCAAGAGGTAACTTAAGCTCTTTACCTTAACAGTACAAAACATAGAAGCTCTCTAGATTCCCTGTTTCTTTTCAACATACTCCAATACCTGCAATATCCCAAGAACATAACAAAGCTTATACAGTAAAGAGTAACTTTAATTAGAAAGCAGTTGACTATGTGGGGAAGAAAGGAGATGAAAAGAACCGCAAAATAACCTTGTGTTCAGAACATATACAGTCTATGAAAAAAGTCATCTGCATTTCAGACTAGTAAGTCTTCATTAAAACATCCCAAACGTTCATGGACTCTGAAACCAACCCTGTAGAAAACACACCTTGGAGGGGCAAAAAAGGGAAGATAAGGCATAGAAGGGAGGTCTTACTGGAGACATATAATATGGAGTTCCAACAAATGTTTTGGCAAAGCTGGTATCGTGATGCAATATTCTAGCCAGTCCAAAATCTCCAAGTTTCACATTCTGTTTGCCATCCAGAAACACATTTGCTGGTTTTAAGTCACGATGCACAGTGACTGCACCATCACTCCGTCTGTGACACTCCTTCAAGGCCAATGTTAACTGAGTCAATACTCGGAGAATAAAGCTTTCTTCCAAGAAATGCCTGAAAGATGAACATATTTTTTAACAAACAGATTTTTTGAACGTAGATCAGTTCAAGTAGTTGCTGCCAGTCTTAGTTCTGTAACTTTTTTTAATATTCCTATTATAAAACATCACTGAAACAACCACTATCAACAACAGGTATCTATTAATTTTATTTTTAAAATTGTTTTTTTTTTAATCACTGCAACTATGTTGGAAGACATTTATACTTTTGTTGCAAAATCCCTGTAGTATTTCCTTCCTCACCCAAACAGTCTCTTGTATACATAGTATTTTCATTACTTGTAACACAAATATCAATTTGATCCTTTTGTGATGGTATTAGTCCCTGTGATCACTTAAGGTATATTGTCAGCTGTTTATAACAAGCAACATCCAATAACAGAGCCAAGACATGGCTGATTTTTAATATAACCTTCCTGAAACGAAAAGACTAATGTTGTTAGGCAGCTGCAGTACTATTTTAGACTATTCTCACAAAGTAACAGCAATGGAGTCATGTACTTGTTTAACATGAAATGTGAAAACTGATACTATACTTAAGCAGGCTCCTAAGTCTAAAATTAGATCAAGGTGAAGCCTTATCAACTTGACGTCTCCCCAGGCTTTATATGCAAGCACATAAAGTAGCTTTTCACGTTGTGCTCATAATCACTTTTCCCTTCCACATATTTTGGTGTTCTAATACAACACAGGATCCAAATCGTTTTACTGACAGGGAAGCCAGAACCCGCGGACCAAGCAGTCTCTAGGACTTCCTGATTATGTTTTCAACCCCATGTATAGCCAGAACCCCCTCAATAGCTTCTACCCCACAAGAGACCTATATTTTTAGTTTTTTACTATTTCAGCATTGACATCCAGCCTGATACAGCACTCAATAGCACAATTCCCATGGCTGCTGTAATTTTGTACAAAACCTTTAACGTTTGAGAAGAGTTGTTGGGTCCAAGGGGTTAAACCCGAAGCTGCTCAGAAGTTAAGAGATGCATTCCCTTCCTCCCTGGATTGGCCAAGACTCCTCGTGTAAGATATTCCAAGCGTGCCACAAACAGATTTCACGTGCCTATCTTTTGAGCATTTGGCAATCAAGGTCGCCAGGTCTCCCCCATCGCAGTACTCCATCACGATGTACAGGGTGGTGCTGCTCCTGTCGATGATCCGGTCGTAGTACCGGACGATGTTCGGGTGCCGCAGCTCCCTCAGCAGGTTCACCTCCGAAACGAGCATCTGCTTCTCCGACTCCGTCATCGAGCCATAGTCCAGTTCCTTCCATACCAAGATCTGGGGAGGGAGGAACACCTTATGGAGCGGTGGGGGTGCCGGCCGGAGCCTCGAAAGGGGAAGAGAGAGGGGCTTCCAGAGCCGCCCGCTCGCGTATCTCGGAGAGGCGGCAGCGCCGGGCTGGGACCCGCGCCAACGGCACAGCCGCGCCGCCCCCGCCTCCTGCTCACCTTGCCGTCGGCCTTGCGGCGCACCTTGCGGCACTTCCCGTAGGAGCCGGCGCCGATGGTGAGCAGCACCTCGTAGTCGTCGGGTCGGCCGGGCATGGCGGGCGCGGACGGGGCGCAGGATCGGTCCCCCCTGGGCTCCGCTCGGCCCGCCCCGCGCCCCCGAACCCGCCGCGCCGCCCGCGCCGTTCAAACGCACCGCCCCGCAAGCCCATTGGCCGCGCCGCGCGCGCGCCCCGCCCGCCCATTGGCTGCGCCGCCGTAAACAGCTCGCGCCGCGGTGGGGCGGGTACGGCCGTTACCACCGGGGGGCGGGGCCCGGCGAGACCCGGCGAGACCGGCGAGACCACGCAGCTCTCGCGATGCCCTTGGCCCCGCCCTCCCACGCCTGGTCCCTCACACCCTTTTCCCTCCCTTTTCCCTTTCTTCCTCCCCTTTTTCCTCTGTCTTATTTTTTTCTTTTTTTTCCTTTCTTTTTCCTTTTTTTCTTTTTCCTTGTTTTTTTTCCTTTGCTTTTTTTCTTTTTCCTTTTTTTCCTTTCCCCCCTTATCCTCTTTTCTCTCTCTTTTTCTCTTGTTTTTTCTTTCTTCTCTTTCTTCTCTCTTTCTTCTTTCTTCTCTCTCTTTTTTCTTTTTTTCTCTTTCTCTCTTTTGCTTTTTCGTTCCCTCCTTTTTTCTCTTTACCCCCTCTCTTTCCTTTCTTTCCTTTTTCCCCTTTTCCCCCTTTTCTTTCTCCTCTTTCCTTTTCCTTCCTTTTTTCTTTCCTTTTTTCCCTTTTTTCTCTCTTTTCCCCTTTTCCCCCTTTTTTTCTCTTTTTTCCCTTTCCTTCTCTTCCTTCTGCTCAGATAAACCACCAGGCCAGAAAGTATGAATAAATAACTCACATACTTATAGCTCCTCAAGAAAATACACTTTTTCCCATTAAAAGTGACGTTTCCTGAAAAACTTACTTCTGGTGAACAAATAGTGACAGAACATTGAAAGATCTTAGCAGAGTTTTTTTAATACTAAGAAGTGCTAAAAAAACCCTCAAACTATTTGAAATATCAATCTGTTCTGTACTTATTGCAGTCACAACTTCCTCGTGAGGGGAAGAGGAGGGGCAGGCGCTGATCTCTTCTCTGTGGCGACCAGTGACATGGCCTGAAGTTGTGTCAGGGGAGGTTTAGGTTGGATATTAGAAAGACCCTCACCCAGAGGGTGACTGGGCACTGGAACAGGCTCCCCAGGGACGTGGTCACAGCACCAAGCCTGTCTGAGTTCAAGAAGTGTTTGGATGATACTCTCGGGCACATGTTGTGACTCTAAGGGATATTCCTGTGCAGGACTAAGACTTGGACTCAAAGATCCTTCTGGGTCCCTTCCAACTGAGCATGTTCTGTGAGAAGAGTCCTTTAAAACCATGAGGAAAATTCCTCATGATTCTTCAAGAATCATACATTAAAAACTCCAAAACTCATGGCAGCCATACTGTCACACCACATATGAACACCTGTGTTATACCACACCCAAACCACCTGTTGAATATAAACCAAATAATGTAATGGCTTAAATTGCAAAATTTGAAAACAGGAATGTGTGGGTTCATGTCCAAACACTGAGCCAGTAAATACTATGGTTACATTAAATGGCACTGAATAACACCTCAGTATGACATTATAGAAATTTTAAGAAGCATGTAGTGTATTTTCTAGCATCATTTATGATAATTCTGGAGTGGTGCCAGGGTGCAGTTCTGGATTCAGTTTAATCTGTCTCCACATGGAAGTGGCTGTGACTGAAACAAGAACTCCTAGTTCTTCAGCAAAGAATTGTAACACACTTGTATAATTATAGAATCATAGAATGGCCTGGGTTGGAAGTGACCTTAAAGATCATCTAGTTCCAAACCCCCTGTCGTGTGCAGGGACACCTTTCCTGAATGAGGTGTAAAAGGGAACAGTTGTATTTGTTGACCGAGAAATCCAGCAACAGGACAGAGCAGTTCCTCATAGTGCATCTCTGCATGGCCTCAATCATTTCCAATTTTATTTCAGGCTTTGAAATAGGTTTGAGGGGATTAGGTGTCATGTTATTACTGAATATTTATGAAATATTCTTCTATTAGTCTTTAGAAAAATCTAAACCTTTACTTTCATCATCAGGAGGTGCAAAAGCTCCTGCTGTCCATAAAAATCCTATAGCTTTCTATCTGTAGATAATGTCTGTTCATTAGAGGAAAAAATGAGCAAATGAATTATACAGTGTAAAGACATTTTAGTTTTGTTGTTAATGAGGAACAGGGTGATCTAAAGGGTTCATTTCCATCACCAGTTTCAATTATCTTAAAAGAAAATCCTCACATACACCATTAGCATAGTAAATAAATTATGGTATTATACAATAAAAAAGACAAGCAGTACAGTATGTATTATTCAGCTATAAGCTTCATTTCTGGTTTCAGATATCTCCGTTTCAAACTTCTGTACTGTCAAATTAGCAAAAGGTCATCATGCATTCCCACTGTTACCAATGGGAGCCTTTCTATTTATATTTCAAAAGAAATAGGGTAGGTTTTCAATACTGTGTTTTGTCTATGGACTGTCTTGAAAGTTTCTTTAGAAAGGTTGGTTTGAATCACAGAAATGTCAAATGTCATGCTTTTAAAATCAGCAGCAGAGTAATTTTAATTTTTATTATACTTATTTCTAAGAGCCAGCTAATTTTGAGGAAAATGCATTTCTAAAAGTGGTCATTAAAATTTTCAACAGGCACTCCATTTTCTTTCTTTCTGATTTTCACACTTATAAGAATTATAAGACTTTTTTTTTCTTACATATGGCCATAGAAGTGAACCTAGATGCCAGTGATTCCAAAAATATATATTAAGTTTTAAATGGAGGCCTCTTCTGTCGGGTATTGTATTTTCAACTTTGGTCTCTAGTTCAGGAGCAACCTCAGATTTCTAGTCTTGAAAATACATGTACTGACTTCAGGTCTTTGAAAGCCACTGAATAGTTTTTAATAACCTACTTATAATATCGCTTCTAATATTTTATTCTGCCTTTTTTTGTTGTTGTTTACATCAAATGGCCCATATAATTTCCCAAAACTTAACCAAAAAAAAATTGCTCTGTAGTTCTCCACCAAAGCTCGTCAGTTTTGGTGACATCTCTCCTTTGTGCTGTAAGGAGTACCCTTTCCCTTATTCCAGGGTCTAGTTTATCTGACAAAATATTAAAGACTGAAGATAAATAATATGGTAGGCAATTTGGTATTTCTCTGAAGATGTTTTCTTTTTTGCACATGGAAATAGGTAAAAATAAATAGCTAACACTTTGCTGTGGGAGCCCAACACAATATAATTATACAGATAGATAGAAAACAAATGTAGTAAGGCACTGTAGCAAATTCAGTTATGTTTCTGGCAGCTATTTTTTTGCTTTCCAATCAGAGAAGATTACATAGGTTCAGAAGCCTTAAAGGAGCTCAAAATTGAAAATAAAACCAGACAGATGATGAATAATAAAAAATATATGCTCTTCATAAAAATAATTAGAAAAATAGCTGATAAAAATCTTGAGGTTTCTGTTCAAAGAGATGAAATATATGTAAAATCATATTTCAGGATCTCAGAAATGTGCCCAAGTCTTCTAGCAAAAAGGAGGAATTGAGCACTTAATATTGACAAGGTAAGATATCTTAAGAATGGTTTTACATGACAACCAGAGGAATTATAAATATTGGAGTGACTGAGATGTGAGAGTTTTATTTTAGCTCATTTTCTCCACATAAGTAGTTTGAGTTTTTTAATATTCAATTGCACTTGTGCTTACATGTCTTCATGCACACTGAGTTTTGTTCCTCACTTTCTCTTATTTGGTCCATGCCAAATTTTAAATTTACCCAGGACTGTTGTACACAGATGACACCATTTTTTTTCTAATGTTCTAGTAACTGACTTTAACGTCTAAACTCATACATAGGATTAACAAAACCATATAAAATACTGGCATATTACACAGAAAGACTCTAAAAAGTACCAGAAGGTAAAATTTCTCACTACTTTTCCTCTATTGCTCTGTGAGGGAAACAAGGAGTATGTTCCTTTAAGAAATTCTGCACAGCACAGCTGCGGACAGGACAGCAAAGGAACAGAATTTAGCAGCATTAATTAAAGTGCTTAAAACCATGGTACTTTTCATCTTTCATATCGTTTGCATTCAAAGCCAAGTGAGACTCCAAAAGCAATGTGTGCAGCAAGGCAAGCTTCAGTAAGGGAGTTTGTTGCAGCAGCTGTACCTTCATGGTTTTGCATTACAAACCATTTAAATGAGGAATACATAAACCCACATGAAATAAATTCAACAGCAGGTCAAGTTTTTACATGAAGGACTGAAAAATCAAAAATCTGACAGCATGGGAATTAATGAGAAGGAGAACGAGGAGAGTAGAAAAGACTCATTTTTGCATTTGGAGAGGGGAGCATATGAACTCTACTAACTCCAGATTTGCTTTGTTATCCATTCCTTATGTTCTGTAAAGTAATATTTAAATACAATACATGGCTGGACATTTTGAGTTACTTAGCTCTGTTTCTTGTGATCAAACTAACAGCCCTATCCATTATATATCTTCATATATATGCTAATTTTCAAAATCGTGAACAGAAAGTGCTTCAGTTGATCTTTAAGACCATTATTCAAACTGATTAGAAGACCAATTATTTGAGGTGCATGAGGTGCACAGAACTTCAAAAGTGAAATTCCAGAGTATCCTTAAGTCCTCAGTTAATCAAAATTTGAAGAATTGGAATTGTCTCTAAGGAAGAATTCTAGTATGACAATCTATGATTTCTGGTTTTGACTTGCTTACTAACTCTCTCCTAGGAAGGTAAACAAGTTCAGGACCTATGCCTCAATTTGGCCTCTTTTGAAAGGGAGATAGTGTACTACCTCTGAGATTAAAATTTGTAGCTAGTAGCTCTCAAAATATTTGTCAAAAATGCTTTAAATGATACAATAAATACAGCAAATACTTTGCTGACTTGAGTTGCCTAATTTTTCTAAAAGCAAAAATATTAGGTTTTCTTATTGTAGAACACCTGGTCTCATGTTTTTCCATGAATTTATT